GTCAGGCACTTATTGTGGTCTTATATTTAAGAACGGATGGACTACTATGTATCCTCGAATTGCGTTGCCTGCATCGACTTAATGTATGATATCTATATATGAATGACTATGTTGTCATACAAATTCTAGAACAAACTATAAAAACTTCAAAAAAATATTAAACGTTGCACATCAATTAGTAGGGTGTGACGTGCCGCCGCGCGCTACATGCTAGTTGTAGTGTATTATCACTTCTAAATGCAGTATCAGGACTTACTGGTCCTTCCCCTTGTTTAAAAAAAACAATGCAAACCCTAGCCAACAACGGACTCTTTTTTTGTGAGATGCCAACAACGGACTATTGATAGTGATAATCCTCAAAACACCAAAATATTGAAACCGTTTTGTACTGAGCTGAGTTTGTGCACCATTTATTGTTTGAGCGTGTGGTGGCTCACCAATTTTGGAATATAATCTCATTTTTATTATCGTTTTGGCTTTGATTTTGAATCAACTGCGGTGGCTAAGTGGCAACAAGAAATCAGTGTTAAGAAAATTCTACTCTGCTTCACTATGGTCCACACTACATGACCCTTACAGAATCAAATGTGTTTTCAGGGCAAAGGTTGGCAAAACTAATTTTTTTCTCGCTATCATATGGAAACTAATGGTGGCAAACATTGGACGGTCTTAAGATGTTCATTCAAAGATAACTCGAGCGCAACCTGCTACCCCTGGAGAAAAGGGGAGAAGTGCTGAACATAGCCTTGGGTTGAAGATGACCAAACTTGGCTTCATCCCATTTGAGAAAATTTGCGGGCACTCGATCCCCATCACCAATGGAGTGTGCGCACGCCGTTAGAGCAACTCCGGCCGCGCCCCTAACAGGCCCCTTAGACAACTTTTTACGGGTCGGCGTTGAAAAAACGCCCCAGTCGTGGCCCCAAGACGTCGAAATTCGCCGGCTTTGCCCGTTTTTGGGCCCGGCGATCGCAGGTCGAACCCGGCGCACTGGGGGCGCTCGGGGACTCCGGCGCAAGGGAAAACACGCCTGGGCTACACTGCCAGGCGAAAAGTCAAGCCAATCGTCCAGATTCGCCTCCCACCCCCCGCGCGCTCGGCCGCCATCCTGCCGACCCCGGCGCCGCCCACCGCCCACCATCCACCACCGCTAGATAGGCCATTCCCCGCCGGAAAAGAGAAGAGGTTTCACCGCAGCAGCCTCTCCACCATCGTTCGGGCGATTTTTCCGGCGTTCTGGCCGCGCGGGGCAGTGTACCGGCGGGTGTGCGCCCACCAGGCCCGCAAGGTGTTCGGCGATTTGCCTGCTCGGCAATGGACTCGGGCGACGAGGAGGTGCTCGCCACGCTGCTGGAGGAGGAAGCCGATGCCGACGTCCAGGAAGAGGAACATCTCATGGTCCTCGTCGCCGTCACCGGCCTGCTCGCGAGCAATGAAAAGTCGCGACGAGGTGGCTCGGCACCGGGGCGGATGAAAGCAAAGAACAGGCATCGTCTAGAAGGCTACTGCATGCTCTACTCTCACTACTTCGTCGACACTCCACTGCACGACGACAAAGTATTTCGGATGAGCCGAAAGATTTTCCTCAGGATTGTGAATTCCATCCGGGAGTTCGACAGCTACTTCAAGTTCAAGAAGGATTGCATCAGCAAACTTGGATTCGCCTCAATCCAGAAGTGAAGGACAGCGATGAGGATGCTTGCATATGGTGCTCCCGGTGATTCACTCGACGACTATTGGCGCATGGCCGAGTCCACCACCATTGAGTGTTTCTACAAGTTCTGCAGGGCAGTGGTGGCAGTGTTTGGACCGCAATACTTGCGAACACCCAATGCGGAAGACACTGCTCGGATCCTAGCACAAAATGCAGCAAGTAAATTTCCTAGGATGCTTGGAAGCATCGACTGCATGCATTGGAAATGAAAGAACTGCCCATTTGCTTGGCAGGGGATGTACAAAGGCGCCAAAGGTGGTTGCAGTGTGGTACTTGCGGCGGTGGCCACACAGGACCTCTGTATTTGACACTCCTTCTTTGGTATGCCAGGAACTCACAATGACATCAACATGTTGCAGTGCTCATCTATCTTTGCCAAGCTTGTTGAAGGTCATTCTCCTCCGATGAACTTCGAGGTCAATGGGCGGCACTACAACAAGGGGTACTACCTAGCTGATGGCATCTATCCGAGATGGTTGACATTTGTGAAGACTATTCCAAATGATGTGCCAGGAGGCAAGAAGTCCCACTTTGCCAAGGTTTAGGAGGCTTGCAGGAAGGATGTTGAGCGGGCATTTGGTGTGCTCCAATCTCGATTTGCTGTTGTCCGGTACCTTGCTCAGACTTGGTCGAAAGATCAAATGTGGGAGATCATGACTTGTTGTGTCATCTTGCACAATATGATCATTGAGAGTGAGCAGGAAGAGCCAGTGTTTGACACTGAACCATACTACAGGCAGGGTCCTCTTGCCCAAGTTGATCAACAGCTACCGGCAACCTGGACTGCCTACCTCAATATGCGCCAGGAGATCCGAGACCCACAGGTGCATCAACAACTGCAGCAGGATCTGGTGGAGCATCTATGGAGGATCAAGGGCGACATCTAGGGTGTGTTTGGTTGTCGTGTGCTACAGTGTCTGTGTTGCATACACTTCTCTACTCAGCCTGACTCTCGAAAAACAGCCTCATATGTGACATCTGCGAGTTGTTTGATTGCCTGCATATGGACTTGCTGCATTAGGAGATCAACATTGGCACATTGTTTGGTTGCCTGCATTGTCCCGGCGCATGCAACTACACGCTGTTTGGTTGGCCGCATGGGGTATGATTAAGAGCTATCACTTGCACTTAACACACAGGGTTAAGAGCTAGCAGAGGAAGGGGAGAAGAAATGCGGTGTGCGCCGGACATGGCGACTATGGTGGATAGTGGCCGTGGCATCGTGTCCGACTTGACGAGCATGGAGTCATGGATGAGCGACCCCGTCGGCGGCACGACGAGTGACACCGTCGGTGAACTAGTTGCGGTGCTCGCGCAAAGACAGTGGACAGAGGAGGAGAATGCAGTGCTCGCGCCATCGTATCGTCAGTGCAGTGGGCGAGAGAAGAGGCCGAGATGATCGACGCCAGAAATGACTCCAGTGTAGTAGGGCGAGAGAGAGGAGGCGAAGACGATCGATCCCGTCGGCGGTGCGGCGAGCTACAGTGTGCGCGGAGGCAGAGGACACAAGGAAGCAGTGTGCGCATCATTGCAGTGTCAGTGCAGTAGGAGGACGACAGAGAGTAGGCCGAGATGAGCGACGCCAGAAACGACTCTAGTGTAGTAGCACGCGGGCAAGGAGATCAAGGGGAAGGGCTTCGGCGTCGAGAGGGACGAATATGAGGGCTCTGAGCAGAGGACAGAGGAGCTCGGCATGGCGGCATTTGTGTAGTAGACTGTTGTCAAAGAGAGATGAAGCTACGATCGTCGAAACCAAAAACTTACAACACGAATGTTGTGAGGAACTGCGAGATTAGGCTGTTGGTCAAAGAAAATTTCAAACAATCCATCGTGCGCGACGAATCTGACAAAATTCGTTCAAAACATCTCCAAACGGGGACACGAGATTAAGAACTTACGGCCGATGAAACTACGAACTGATCGCCTGAATTGAACCGTAGCAATGAGGTGCATCTTTTTCGTGTAGAGCTTACCTCGAATCGAAGCACCGTTGTGTAGATTAGAGAGAGGAGATTAGATAGAAGCTTACTTGAGGTTGAAGAAGACCTCAGGTAATCACCTCGCATCTCTCCCGTCTCCACTCGTGCAACTCGCTAGCGCTCGCCTCGTCCTGGCTCACAAAAAACTGCCAATTCGTGCGTTTCCAGCGATCCAGGCTCTGGGCCGCTTTAAGAAGCGTGCGGTGCAGGGCCAACAGTAAAAACAGGCAACCAAACAGGTTTCTTTCTTCCCGCGCGGGCCTGGTTGGGCCCTATGCGGGCAACCAAACACGCCCCTAACTCGACGTGTGATGAAATATGAGTTTTTATTTGTTGAACTATATAATTTGTATTGAACTATTTGTTAAACTATTTGATTTCTATTGATTTTCTGTAATAAACTATGTGATAAAAAAATTATTTATGTTGAGAATTCACGCCAAACCACGTCGAATATGGGCCGGTTCGCGCCGATATCGAGCCATTTTTTGCCAAAAGTGGGCCGACATCGGTGCTTGGGGCGACGGCTGGGTGTCCAACCGCCCCAGAGCCGATTATACCGCCGGCTGACTCCTAGGCGGCGATTTTTATGCCTCCTGAGGGGCCAACGGCAAGATGCTCTTAGACGCCAACCTGCTGCATCGCCTGGTTCAAGAGGCTGTGTTTAGTAAGCTCTGAGTTAGCTTGTGCTGGTCTATTGGTTTCTTTCCGTTCTTTCTTAGTGAGTTTGATCCAGTTTACTCTTCTCTGGCGAGCGTTAATCTCAAATACTGTAGAATAAGTTCGAAATAAGAAATATCGTACCAGCCTAAATAAGACCTAAACAACAGGAGAATGGAATTGCAATCATAGATACGTACAAAGCACTGAATGGGAAGTTCTGAATGAAAAGTTGGAACTTATGCACAGGTGCCAACATGAAGCACATGAAACCTCATATCATATACTGATATACCCCCAGGACAAATATACATCTTGTATCCCCCATCTTACAGTTTAATTTACCTACACCTCACATTTACATCCCAGATTAAGGTCGTGTGGCATTAGCCACAAGGCCGGATATCTACATATTTACCCCCCCCCCCCCACCCGC